GGCTTGTTTGAAATTATGTTTTATCTTAAAGTCACAATTAATTAAGTTTCGATTGGAACCTATGTCTTGGGTGATTTTAGACCTTGAAGAACATAAACTTAGGTAATATTTAAGAGTAACGGTGAGTTGGGTTGAGCCATGTTAGTGCGCTTTAGTTTGAGGTTACTTAGTTCCTATTTTTTTTAGTATTTTTAATAGTAGTGACATATAGTTTTCATACTTGGTTCAGGGCACTAGTTGGACTCTTATACTCTATTGAAGAATTACATTGTTCCATTTTCAGGTGAGTTGTTGCATGCTATATATTTTTGTAAATGTTCCCCTACCCTGAACTGTTGGAAAAATTAAATTGTTGTTTCATGATTAAACTGTTTTGATAAATTATTATATTATCAATTGAATCAAATTATTTCTGAAACATGTGTGAACTTGGCATACTGTAAACTATTTGTTTTGGTCTCATGTTTATAATGATGAACTACCATGTTTTGCGAAACTGATGTGTATTGATTATTGGGACCATGTGTGTATTTAGTCCAGGGAAATTATTCCACTGTGTGTGGTGCTTATGTTAAATATATAGTTTACTCTAGTGCTCAATGATTGTAAGGAAAAGACCTTTAAAAATAACTAGGTGACCTTCAATCGGGTCGTCTTTGAGAAAAGGCCCAGGTGCCACCCTGAGGATGACTCTTAGTTCGGTATTGGATCCAACGGGGCTTATAGCCTTGAGAACTGTGTGACATATTATTTGTTTTTATTAGTACCCAGAAAATTATTAGTGTTCATGTTATAATCTGTTTTAAGTGAAAAATGTCGTTTATTATGTTCTTGCGAGACATGAGTATTTTAAGTGTTGAATTGTGAAACCTTCTTTTTGAAACAGATTATATTTACCAAACTGTATGCCAATCTAGTTTCTGTGATATATATCTTATTTTGGAATTGAACCATGTTTTCAAAACTGTATTTACTATCCATGTTGCTACCCATTGAGCTATCAGCTGACTTAGTTGTTTACCATTTCCAGCTGTTAGAAGAACTTAGAGCGGACTCATGGCGTAGCGGGGACTCAATTGCATAGACCTCTAGGGCATTTATTTAATTTGTTTTAGGTAGCTTTGTCGAGTTTTGTGGATACATTGTGGTTGGGTTTTATTTAGAATTATTTTATTTTGTGGGCGGTTTGTGTCACATTTAGTATATATATATTTTTAGGAAGTTGGTTATGACTTGTTTTTCACTTGTGGTATGTCATTGGATTGAGTGTTGATTTATTTATTTCTGGGCTATCATCACGTTTATTCTTTATGGTTTTGGATTCATGTTTAGGCTTACGTGTGCCTTGGGCTAAGTCCCTGTGCGCCACGGCCGGTCATGCCCGGATTTGGGGTGTGACACTTATCAATCTAATTGTTACGAAGTCAAAATCGTAGATGACACTACAGTGTGGAATCTTAGATTTGGTCACTTGAACTTTCAAGGATTGAACATTATGTCAAAGAAAAACATAGTGACAGGGTTACCATAGATCAAGCTTCCGCTAAAGAAATGTGAAGGATGTCTCATCGGCAAACAACACCAAAAGAGCTTTGGTGATGGAGGAATAAAAAGAGAAACTCAACCTCTCCAGTTGGTCCACAGAGATGTATGTGGTCTTATACAACCCATGACACTCGGTGGAAACAGGTATTTTCTTACTTTCATTGATGATTTTAGTGGCAAGACATGAGTTTATATCATGAAGGAGAAAAGTGAATTTTTTCAAAAATTTAAGGAACTCAGATCCTTAGTTGAAAAACATAGTGGATATTTTATCAAGACGATGAGATCTGATTGTGGGGAAGAATATTCCTTAAAGGAATTCGAAAGATTTTGCAAAGAAAATGGGATTATTCATCAATATACTATGCCATATACACCTCAACAAAAAGGTGTCTCAAAAAGAATAATAGAACGATCCTAAATATGGTTTGTTGCATGATTAAAGAAAGAGTTGTGCCAAAGGAACTCTAGGGAGAAACTGTTGTTTGTGCAGTATATTTGCTCAACCGCTTTCCAACCAAGAAATTATTAAACAAGACCCCTGAAGAAGTATGGAGCTCGAGAAAGCCAAAAGCTGATCATTTGAGGATTTTTGGATGCACAATCTATGCAAAAATTCTAAACGAGAAAAGAACGAAGCTAGAAGATAAAGGCTAGAAATGTGTTTTCATCGGCTATGGAGAAAGTGCATACATGCTTTATGATTCTATTCAAGAGATGTTGAATTTGATGAAGTATCAGGTTAGAATTGGCAGAACCCAAGTCAAGAACTAGTCCCTATAATCCATATTGAAGATAATCCAACCATTGGAATTGAAGTCTGCAGTCACCCGCATTCACCTTCATGGGGGACAGGAACAAGAATGAGTACTCAACAACTTAGTACGCAACAAGAAAGTGTCAGCTCTTCATCAACAACATAGAATATACTTGTAACAACCCTCATACTGTTTACCGATTAATGACTGATTAACCACTAATTACTGTTAACCGAGACTGATTTTGACTGATAATTGAACTACCTAAGGTACTGAACTGACTGACTGAAAACTGGAATCGAATTGATTGAGTATACTAAACCCATAGGGCCGGGTTTGGGTCGTGACAATACTAGGCAAGACTAGAACCATTTAAGATCTATATGATGTTACAAGAAGATTTCACGATATTTTGTCTATTCTCTGGAAGCAATCCTATTCACTTTGAAGCAGCATAAAAGGAAGACATATGGAGACAAGCCATGAATGAGGAAATCTAAGCCATAGAAAGAAACAATGCTTGGGAACTTACATCCTTACCAAAAGGACACAAAGCAATTGGTGTCAAATGGGTGTATAAGACAAAAAGAAACGCTAATGTAGATGTTGAAAAATACAAAACAAGATTGGTGGTGAAAGGCTACAAGCAACAATATGGCATAGACTATGATTAAGTTTTTGCATCAGTCGTACAACTAGAAACGATATGACTTTTTATCTTTTTAGCAGCCCAGAAAAAATAGAACATATACCAAATGGATTTCAAATCAGCATTCTTAAATGGTTATCTTGAAAAAGAAGTGTACGTTGAACAACCGTTAAGCTATGTGAAGCCAGATCAACAGGATAAAGTATATAAGTTAAAGTGAGCACTTTATGGCTTAAAGCAAGCACCAAGGGCATGGAATACAAGAATTGATAGGTATTTTGTTGCAAATGAGTTTGTTCAATGTCCTTATGAACATTCCATGTACATCAAGACAAACAAAGGGGGAGATTCGTTATTTGTTTGTCTTTACATCGATGATCTAATATTCACAGGCAACAATCTCAGCATGATCCGAGATTTCAAAACATCCATGATACAAGAGTTCGAGATGACAGGCATCGGACTCATGGCATATTTCTTGGGCATAGAAGTCAAACAAAGTAATGAAGGTATTTTCGTATCACAAGTTAAGTATGCCAAAGAAATCGTAAAGAAGTTTGGCATAGAAAATTGTCAAGCCGTCGACACACTGACAAATGGAAATAACAAGATGTCCAAGTATCATGAAGGAGATAAGGTTAATCCAATGTATTTGAAAAGTCTAGTTAGAAGCCTAAGATATCTCACAGCTACGCGACTTGATATATTGTTCGCAGTAGGCTTAGTTAGTCGGTATATGAAGGAACCCAAGACACCATATCTGAAAGCAGGCAAAAGAATTCTACAGTATGTAAAAGGTACAATAGAGTATGGATTATTTTATTCATCTACAGAAAAGTCTAAATTAGTAGAATATAGCGACAGTGATTGGGCAGGTGATGTGGATGATCGTAAAAGTACTATTGGATTTATGTTTTATCTCGGAGAAACAACTTTTACGTGGTCCTCAAAGAAACAACCGATAGTAACTCTATCGATATGTGAAACAGAGTATGTAGCTATTGCGGCAAGAGCATGTCATGCTATCTAGTTAAGAAATTTGTTGAAAGAAATTCAAGAACCACAACAAGAAGCCACTAAGATATACATGGATAACAAGTCAGCAATCTAGTTAAGAAAGAATCAAGTCTTCCATGATAGAAACATACATATCGACACAAGATTTCATTTCATACGAGAATACATAAGAAAAGAAGAGATCTAATTGATACACACGAAAAGAGAAGATCAAGTTGCAGACATATTTATAAAGCCTCTTAAAACAACAACATTTGTGAAGCTATGAAGAATGCTTGGAGTTACCTTATTTGGTGATTCAAGTTTAGGGGGGGGGGAGGGGATGTTGGAGAATAAACTTGACTCTTCAAGTAATCTCCAGAAGCTGCCTGAAGATGGAAGAAGAGATTAAAGAAATAAGCTTCCTTGAAGCTCACAAAGTTAGAAATTTCGAAGGTAAGAAACTGAATTCAAATTCACAACTATAAATTCACACACGGTTGATACACGGATCAGAAACCTACAAATAGATTGTTAGGTTGTTGTTAGAGATATCGATAAATCAAGAAACCCATAAGAGGCTTGAGAGATAGAGAGATAGGAGATAAAATTCACAGATTGTATTTGTTCGAAATAAATTCATTTATTTGTTTATGTGTGAGACATCATAAATTTTATACTAAATATATAGAAGCCCACCATCAAAATCTTCTAAACCCAAGTAAAATTGGGTTAAATGAGTTGAACATGGGTATTCATTTAATTGGTAGAGTTTATTTTGTCCAACTCATATTCAATTCACTTTACTTTAATCCGTTTATTTAATGAATATAATTGGATTAAATTTTTTTAAAAACATAACCTGTTTTAACCCTCTTAAATCCATCCAAACTCATCCATTTGCTAACTCTAACTGCAAGTAATAGTGGATATGCAAAAGTGACAGATCTAGAGCACCCAAGGAGATCCAAATTCATCCAATGTCTAACCAATCAAGAAAACTAGCACAACCATATCTACCATATTATCACTCCACAAAAACTTATATTTTTCAGCATAAAAATGTACGTGGTAGATCATTACAATAGATAACATATAGTTAGATATTCTACGCATTATTGTCCTGATTATTTATCACGTACATTTAATACACTTGTCATAAGCAAGAGATTAGTAGTAGTAGTAGAACACCTCTTACAGCCCTTTCTAGTTAGGTTAACATCTGGTAACACAAACCATCAGCCACAAGTAACAGAGGATACTGAAAGAGGGTAGCTGAAGCTATTAGCATATTCGAAAGAAAGGCTTTCTCCGGGGCCTAGAGCCTCCCCGTTGTTGACAAGGCAATCATCATAGCAGATTCGCTTGAACAGTTGAGGGTTGATTAGTCGAGCAGAGCTGAACCACCCACAACTCAGGTGAATGTTGGAGACACTACAGCCAGAGACACAGACATTCATGACTTGAACCGTGTAGGTTGGTATGCCGTTGGGAAGTGGAGTTGTTGGTCCTTGGAATATGGCAATGTCATCCTTTGTGCATGTCGCGCCAACCCGATTCAGTGGATTGCCATCGTCGCCGCCATTATCATCTAAATTTAAGTAACAAGAATTATATATATAGAACCTTGTGAGTAGCTAAAATAAAAAATATTAAAAAAAATTAATTATCAAATTTACTATTAGACACAGTTGTGGAACCCACATTGATAAATACACTGTAACTAATAGTAAGGGGTGGGTAGCGGGTTGCCTGACCTGCACAACCTACCCAATCTGACCCTACTCGCAAGATTTTGGACGGTTTTAAGAGATTGATAAGATCGGATGCGGATTGAGTTTTAGATAAAATTGTGAGTTCGGTTTGGATTGTGGGTTGCACTTAAGCCGCCCACATAATTTTTTTTTAAAAAAAAAAAAAAACCTCTAATGTTCAACATTTTTTTTACTTTTCTCCCACATTTTTATCTCAGTTTCATAATTTTTCCCACTTATATAAACCCCTTGTTCCCATTGAAAGTACTAAAAAACCAACATGCAATACAAAGTAACGAAAACACCAAATCATATTTTTTGAAGTCCACTCGTGGTTGTCCCATAGGAAAAAACAAAGAAGAAGAATACTTGAACCGTTCTCAACCCCTATAAAAATGTGTTCCATCCTATCAATTTCTTTTAAGCAATATGTAAATAAGCAATGCATTAATTATTTGTCAATTTGCAAATAAAAATTGCTTACAAATTAGTAAGTTTCATGAATAGCTTTTCTTTTCTTTTTTTTAATAAAATCTCAACCCGCACAACCGAACACACCCACCCGCACAAACCAGAAATTGTATTATGAGCGATTGCGGATTCATTTTTTTCAAACCACATTCCATCGAGTGAGTCCAAACTCCAACGTGGAACCGACCAAAACCGCCCCTGACCACCCCTATGTATATAATTGTCCTTTGGATAAGAACTAACAAGCAAACATATAGATGGTGTTTGGGAAGTGAGTTTTTATGTAGGTTTTTTTAGTTGTAGGTTTTTATTGGATAAAAAATTTTTGGTGTTTGGGAAGATAGTTGGGTTTTTATATGGTTGGATGTGATGTTTGTGAGAGAAAAAGTGAAATGATTATGGAGTTGGATGTGATATTTTGTTTGGATGTGTTTTTTTTGATTTTGTAAAAAGTTTGTCTTTTAGTGGAAAAAATGAGAAAAAAATTTGGAACCTAGGTTTCCAAACACCACCCTGGTGCATAAAATTCGGCCTGTGAAGCCATTACATAATGCACCACGATGGGCCTCAATTTTGTGAACTTCATTAAAGCAGAATGGGCCTGATAGCCCAGTTTGAACAACCTCAGGCCTTTTAAAGAAAGCCTAACACTAGTATAGACAGCTGAAAACACCCATCATCCTACGAAGAAATTTTCTAGTAGGTTGGTGTTGTTCAAGCATTTGGCCAGAAAAAAGAAAGATAAAAACAACATAAATTGTTCTTAAAAAAAATAGCAAAATAATGAAACATGCATCAGAAGTTAGTGCTAACATGGTTCTAAGAAATGGTATTGAAATATATATGGGTATTAGTTATAGGTTATTGTCGACTAATATATCAGTAAATATCACTATTAAAAATCTAAAATATATCGATAAATATTGATAATTGTAATGCGACCACCAAATTTTTTTTTATTGAAATCCATATGCAACACCAACTTGATTTTAATATATAGTCTCTCTCTCTCTCTCTCTTCTGTCTTAATCCACACGCTTTGAAAGGCCTTTCTGCATCTTTGATTGATTACTTTGAAGATAGCGTAGCTCTGATTTTCAGCATGTTTAACAAGCACAAATCCATATATAGTATTACTCTAATCCATATGCAACACCAACTTGATTTTAATATATAGTCTCTCTCTCTCTCTCTCTTCTGTCTTAATCCACACGCTTTGAAAGGCCTTTCTGCATCTTTGATTGATTACTTTGAAGATAGCGTAGCTCTGATTTTCAGCATGTTTAACAATCAAACACACCCATATAGTATTACTCTACTCTAGCTAGAAAGTGCACTAAACAAAGTTTAACAAAAGTCTTACATGAGCAAATCAAACTAACACAAAGTTTAACAAAAGTCTTACACGATCCAATCAAAGTAAACTAAGTCATCTTGTTTCAATGAAATGGGATCCATTACATGAATTTTTTTTTTTTTTTTGCTTAGGATTCATCTACATAATAAGGAATCAGAATTTTTACATGTTGGCTGTGAGGTACCTAACACCTCACAAAGAATCTTCCTCCTTTCATCTAAACTTGGGACCTTAAATATTGAACCTAAAAAATTCTTAAGAATGTACAAAATTTAAAATGTGTAGATGAGATTTTTAAATTTGGAGTCCACACTAAACTAAGGCCCTGTTTGGGAAAGGGCTAAAATAGCTTTAAAAAAAATGAAAAAATCATTACAAATTGTCAAATTATTCTTTATACTTTTCTGCATGTTTTTTTTTTTTAATAATAAAAAAACTATAAAATTATTTTAAAAAGCCAATTTCCAAACACCCCTAAATTTCAATATACAACATAAATTCAAAATTTAAATATTTCTGAGTATTTTTTTTTTATGCATTCAATTTGCATTTACGAAATATAATCCATTCCCATATTCCCAGTTTGATATAGAAACAAATATTGCCACAAGATTCCCAAATATACTAGAAATTATTCAGTGTTGTTGGAGCGTTGCTCCATTCTATTTACTAAATGACATATATCTTGCACTAACACAAAAGTGATGTGTTTTATTGTTTAGAAGAATAACTAGTATTTATTTAGAGCACCATTGATTTATCTAGACTTGTTTGAGGAGCACTAAATAATTTCTCCGAATATGTGCAAAAATAAAGGGAGACTACATGAAGTTAGGCTCACACACTCACCAGCCATGGTCATGGTCAGTAGCTTACGAGCAAAGGCAGTATAATTTTGCTTGGAAAAGACCATTTCTTGAAAGCCAGCAGCATCACCACCAGTCATTTCCGAAGGACCATGAATTCCAACAACTGCATATATTAATTTCTATATCAGACATGTAGTTATGAACATAGTAACTCTACTCATTAATATGCTCTCTCTCCTCATTCAACTTCTCTTCTTGAATTTAAATTCTCAAGAACTAGCTACATGCAATACATTACAACCCTAATAACAGGGTAAAAAACAAAAGAGTAATGTTAGGGATCATGAAAAAAATATTATAAAAATGATAATAAAATATTCTCCATCTTTGAATTACCCATACAATAAAACACTTTTGTCGTCATCTCTCTTTTTTTTCATCTTATTTAAACTATTTTAAGTAGAAGTCGTACCCAATGTATTTGGCACAGACACAAAAAAATGAAGCAGAGAAAAAAGCAATAAGCAACATTACAAATTGCACCAAACAACACCATTGTTAGATTATGGGTCAAATAATCCACCCTTGTAATGAACTGGTAAAAGCTGACAATTCAACATCTAGTGACTGTTTATGAAATTTCTTTAAGAGAAGCAACTTCAAATGCAAAGCCAAGCACATGAAAAAGAAACAAGAAAAGTGCATATATATATATATAGATATAGCACACCCTTGAATGGTGTATTAGAAATGAGAGAGAAAGGGAAAGGTACCAAAGAAAACAGCAAAGATCAAACCCAAGCCCAAACCCATGGAGACCATGCAAAGTCTCTGTGCAGCACTAGTGCTTCTTATAACACCTTTTATCATCTCCAATTTCTTTCCAATACTATCCTGCAAATTTCATCACAAAACAAAACCAATTTGAAAGTAGAGAGAGACAGAATGCAGAAAGTGATTTCCAGTCCCGGCTTGAGATTTCCGGAGTCCAAACTGATAATCAACTAATAAATTTCTGGACCCTTCATATATATTTTTTTCATTGAATGAAATAAAAGTTTGAAAGTAAAGGATAAAAGATTTGTGTCAAAATTACAAAAAAATACTTAGCATTACATTGCAATAACTAATAAGTATCCCTTGATCCTCATTCTTCTTGTATTTTTAGAAACAAATAAATCAATCATACTTGCATAATCTAATTTTTTTGCAAAATCATTTTCAATGAATAACAATACTAATTATTTTATATGGGTCTTTCAATTTTTTAATGGATTAATTTATTTTAAGTTAATTTAGACATTTCTTAATTATTTTTAAACTTAAAACATATCTAATATATTACACTAAATTATAATAAAAAGAAATTTTTTTAAAATCTATTTTGAGGAGTCTTAGGCCATGACCTTGTGGCCTATGCCCCAGCGCCGGCCTGAGTTCAGGAGATGTTTGTACCAACTTTTAGTAACAAGAACATGAAGAAGAAAAGAAAATTAAAAAAAAGTGTTTTTTGGAAATAACATTATTCGGTACTTACACAGCTACAAAGTGTCGCCAAAAGAAAATCTAACATGGTGGAATGGAAGCAACGTATATCTGATTCTGATGAAATTTATAGAACCAATTTGCTGGTTGGTTACCCAAAATAGACCGCAATTCTCAATCTAATTACAGAAATGCCACTGAGTTGTGGGTATTGGTGACACTTTATTGCAAAGGTCTATCTAGGCTTGCTCGCTTGTCAGGCTATGGTTTCATTGACTGGCAAAGCTTGAGAGAAAGATGTAAAGATCTGAATTGCCTCTTGGGGGCGGCCCATAAATTTAACTGTCACTCTTGTATGCTTTCCATTTTGCAGTGGTCATTTAAGACACACTTAATTTAACATGTCATCGAAATAAAACATAGATTATAGATTCAGTGTTTAAATTTCACTCAAAATTTTTATCACTTATTTGGCCCCTTCCATTTGTAAAAGAGAGTTTATTCATACGTGAAGACATGAGGGTGTTGTGTGGATCAAATTCGTTATCGTGTCAACCATACCACAAAGTTTAAATCTATACATATTCTAAACTTTTATATTATATTATATTTACTACCTTATTTGTGAATGTAAGGGTTAAATTTTTCTCGCGTTCATATTTCAACATAAGATAACTTGAGAGGTTTGTAGGACTCACTACGGCTCCTGTTTCAATAATCTGAACAGTTCATTGCAGGACTCTCAATGTATATCATCTATAAAAAAATTAAATTGAGCCGATAATTATAACATTTTTATTTTATCGCATTAATTTCCAAAAAAATGAACAAAAAATATATTTTTAAAAATATAGCATCTATTTTTTTAGAGACAAATATGATAAAATAAAAATATTACGATTATATGATCAACCTAATTTTTTTTTTTTAATGAATATTATGTATGAAAGGCCTTACAAAATGAGCTATTCAAATAATTGAAACGAGATCTGCAGTAGGCCTCACTAACCACTCAAGTTCTCCCATGTTAAAATTTATGAAAATGACAGAAGCTCAATCCTTAATATAATATTGATGTAAGGAATAAGTTTACCATTTATATATCTCTTCAATAACTAGTAAAATAAGATAGAAATAGATAAACAGTCTTGTTGTTAACCATTCTATTAAGCTAAAAGAAAAACTTAAAAAATGAAAGCTAAGTTTTAACTGCAAAAATATCCACTACAGGATGCCCAAAGGAATAAAAAATTATATGTAATGTTTTCTAAGAGTCCAAAATCAGATCCTCACCATTATCTGAAAAAATAAATAAAAAAATTATAAACTAAAAAAATTTATAATTTTTTTTATTAACTTTATATATCAAGTAATAAATAAATTAAAAAAATTAAAATAAGACTTACTTTTGTTAACCAGCTAGCATCCTAGAATATATGACTTCAAATAGGGTATTTTTTTAGGGGGGAAAAAAAACAAAGAAGAAAAGAGAATAAGGAACAGAACGGCATTATAATAGCAGTATTAAAACCACAGGGTTGTATTTGGAAAAAGTTGAACTATGGCTTTATTTGATAATCACATGTTTTTGTTAAAAAGTTAAAAAATTATTATAAATTGTCATATTATTTTCTTTATTTTTTTGTATTGTATGTTTTTTTTTATAAAAATTAAAAAATTATAAAAATAATTTATTTTCAAATGAGGCCTAAATATGTAAGGAGTACTTACCTGTAAATCCTAATAAGTGGACTTATTATCTAACAGGTTCTATAAGAAAAATTTGTCAAAAAAAAAGTCATTAATTGTAAGTTTTAGCGACAATTTATAAAAATCATTACAAAAAAAAGTCACTAATTGTCAATTTTTAGCAACATACATTAAAATTGTTACAAAAAAATTATTTTTAGTGACAATTTTACCAAAGCTTATTTTCAATAGGACTTTATGAGAATTAAGTCTAACTATAAAGACCTATTAGTAGTTTAAATTATATGAGTTAAAAATCTTGATAAAGGGGTGCAATTAAGTCAAAGAATCTTTTAAAAATATGACATGGAATGATGAACGGTGGTATTATATACATCAATTACGGTACTTAGTATATCAATACTAGTTATAATATTATTATTGATCTCACTCATTATATGAATTAGAATAATACTATATGCACTAATTAGTATACACACTAGTGTACCAACAGATGATGTGGCATAATTTTAGAGGTTTTGAGTATTTATAATTTGTATAATAAATAGGGTCATTAATGATATCATAACACTAGTTAGTACACTAATGTGTACACTAATTAGTGCATGTAGCACCACCGTACAAATTATAATTGAATAATACTATATGTACCAATTAGTGTACTAACTAGTATACCAATTGATGATGTGACATAATTTAAAATATTTTTTATATTTATAATTTGTATAATGAGTGAGGTCAATAATAATATTATAATTAGTGTTAATACACTAATTAGTATATGTAACACTATTTTATCAAAAAAAATTTAAATTATATCACACCTTTAATTAATACATATAATATCATTAATAATGTTTGAGACTACTAATTAGAGTTACCACTAATAATATGACAATAAGTCCCACCATTTGTCACAGTTTATACTGTGCCTTATTTTTTATTTATTTATTTATTTTATTTTTCACCTTACTAAGGGCTCATTAATGTTTTCCAATGACGAAACCATGCGGCTTTTATTGATGAGTAGTAGTAGTTATCGTAGAAAAGTGATATTTAATTGTTGATTTGATTAATACAAATAAAAAGGTACTCTTTTCTACCCCTCCCGATGCAAACATTCCTGACCCCTACAATAATAAGTTGATTAAAATAGTTGGGTTTGTAAGTAGTTGGCATTTATATTCCTCCTAGTAATGTACATCCACAAACTAGAAAATTTTCATTTCAGTTGGGATTGTATAAAAATAATTAGAAAATTTTCATTTCAGTTGGGATTGTATAAAAATAATTTTATTTTTATGATGATGTAAGGTTTTTACGTATTAGGCCTTATTTAAGAATAAATTATTTTAATAAATTTTTGATTTTTAATAAAAGATGTGTAGAAAAATAAAAAAGGTGATGTAATAATTTATAGTAATTTTTTGATTAAAATAATTACTCTCCAAACGAGGCCTAAGACTTGCCATAAAAATAAAAACAAAAAATCACTTATAACTCAACTATTTCAAAATTGAAAAATGATCCGTTGCTTGAAATTGTTGGCTCGAAATTGGCCCGAATACCTAAAATGATGTCTTTTTGGGGTTTTTTTTCCTTTTCGTTGTTTCTCTGTGCATTCAAATACAGAGGGAAGAAAAAATGGGAGAGAGAGAGAGAGAGAAGAGGAAGAGAGAAGAGAAGAGATCGGTGATGGCGGTTGGTGATGGTGCGGTGATGGAGGTTGGTAATCGGCGGTGATGGCGGTCGGTGAGAATCAAAAGGATTTTTTTTTTTTTATTTGTTGATGAAGATGATGATGATGTTGAAGATGATGATGATGTTCAAAATCTGAAGCTGTTCAAAAAAAAATTTGATCTGGATGACGGCAGTGATGGCGGTCGGTGAGGATGAAAGGGATTTTTTTTTTGTTTGTTGATGAAGATGATGATGATATTTAAAATCTGAAGCTGTTCAAAAAATTTTTTGATCTGGATCTGGATAAAAAAAAAAATTTGTTCAAAAAAAAATGTTGATGATGTTGATCTGGTGGATCTGCAGACCCAGATCTTGTTGATGTTGATGAACAAAAAAAAAATTGTTCAGAAAAAAATTTGTTGATGTTGATCAACAATTTTTTTTTTTTTTTGTTGATGTTGATGAACCCAGCAGCGCAGCTCCTCCTTCTTCTTCTCTTCTTCTTCTTCTTCTCTTCTTCTTCATCTTCATCAAAACACGAAGAAAGAGAGGGAGAGAAAAAAAAAGGCGAAGAAAGAGAGAGAGAGAAAAAAAAATCAAAACGACGTCGTTTTGGTGTCGAGCCACGCTCTTTCGAGCTACGAATAGGAACTGTTCAAAATTATCCCACTCATTTGCAATTCTCTCACAAACTATTTAGTTACACTATTGTTTAGGGAATAATGGTCCTCTTTACTTAAATTACTAGGGTTTATTATTCATAAGAAGTCTACTTTTACGAGGATATGATATTAGGTCTAAAGATTTTTTTTTTTTTAATTTTTTAAGCTAAGGGCATAATTAATGAAATTATTTAATGAGAAAGACAAATTATTATTGTAAAGGAATTTTGTTTTATCCCACTACAACTAGATGACCAAGTTAATAATTTTTTTTTAGAATTTTTATTGTTAATTTTTATTATTAATTCAATTTTTTGTTCAGTTTTTATTATGATAATTGTGGAAAAATAAAAATTAACCCATGTAAGGTGTGCGCATTCAATGTCTACGTGGAATACGAATTGAGGTATCAAAATAACAATTTGTAAATCAACTTGTCAACTTGCCAAGTCGCTTTGATATACCTATAGCAAACGAGTTTTGGGCCATACATGTGATTTATTTTCATTGGATCAATTGGTGACTTAAGCTTATTACACGTTAGCATATATAAAGGGATGCAATCTTCAACTCGAGGAGAGATATGCCCAAACCACTTCTTTTACTTGCTGAATTTCATAGATATATGCTATCTAACTTGATCGTTAAAGTCCCTTTCAGCCAACAATTGCTGGTCGGGAGATACTAAGGGTTGGTTTGGGATGTTCTAAAAAAGTGCACTTTTTGACTTATTGGCTTATATGGATTGAGTTTGGGTTGGGTTTGATGTGATGTATTAGAGAGGTGATGTGATTTAAATAAGATGATGTGACTTAAATATGATAGTAACTTTTTGACTTTTTGTATTATTTAGTTTATGCCAAACCAATGTTTATTCTCCTCGTATAATCCTGTTGACCAAGTCCACGCTCCTCCGTACGACGTCGCTTTATCACCTGAAAACACAAACGTGAGCTAGCCGGCGGGTGTGTGCCGGAAACCTCTCCGATGCCTAAGTCAGTAAGCTTGACAAATAGACAAAGCTCTATGTTCTCAGAAAGAATTGTGTTCAATTACCTCCTCCAAGGTGATGCTTGTGAGCTTTTATAAGTTTCCCATGGCGCAATCC